ACATTGACTTCAAGTGGGTTATAAATTCTACTGATTTTCTAAAGATCATAAAATCTCGGGTAAATAGAGCCAATCTGTCCTAGGTTCTTTACAGTTTGGAGAGGTGGTGGGGCAGCCAGACCTCCACAGCTTTATTTAGGGATTCACTATACGTCTAGCAGCCACCATCTGTCTTTTCCTTTTGAAACCAAACTCCGGAAGACTCACAGAGTTTAGATTTTTTGAGGTTGCATTTTTCACTCCTTTTATTCATGTTCCCTTCCTTTCGAGTCCTCCTGGCTCTTTTCCATCCCTGGCCTCACTTAAGTAGCTGGCTGGGAGGCTCCATAGTTTCTCTTACCTCATCTGTCCCTCCAACAGTCTTCTATGGAAGGCTGCCAGAGGTTAGCACTGTGGCTCACTTGGCTAAGCTGCCACTTGTGACATGGGCATCCCATATTGGAAAAGTGATTTGAGTCCCAGATGCTCTGCCTTTGATCCTGCTGCTTGCTAATGCACTCAGGAAGCAGTGGATGTTGGACCTCTGCCATCCACTTGGGAGACCTGGATGGAGTTCCAGATTCCTGGCTTTGATCTGGCTCAGCCTAGGCTATTGTGGCCATCTGGAGAATGAACCAGCTGATGGAAGAGCTCTCTGTCTCTCCCCCTCCTTCTCTGTCATTCTGCTTTCAAATAAAGAATTATTATTTTTTTTTTTAAAGAAGGGAGCCACACATTTGGAGTTTTTTTATATCACAGCACAGGGGAAACTCTCCACCTGGAAATGGTAGCCTAGTGAACACCTGGTGGAAGGGGAGATTCAATGAGAAAATGACTTTTGGGTAATGACTTACAGGAGGTGGCAGAACATCCCATAAAGCTATTTTGGAGAAATACGTTTAGTGCTTTGGAAAGAGCCAGACCAATGTTTCCAAACTTAAAGTGTTCCTGGTGCGTTCAAGATATTAGCAGGAGCCTAGTGTCTATGTAGTTGAGTAGACAGAAGAAAGTGGTAGACAGGAAGATCAGAGGGTGGCAAGTGCAGGCCCATCACGAGATCCGTAGGTGACAGTGAAGCCGTCTGCTCTCCCTCCAGGAGGGGTCAGAAGCTCATAGCCGGAGTGATGTGATAGGACTTGGGTTTTATTTGAATGGATCTCGTTATCGGGTGAATGGTAGTACACAGGACAGCCAGGGAGAAGGCAAGTAGAGAAGTTAGGAGACTGAACTACGCCACAATCAGAGCCAAGGAAACAGTAGTGAGGGTGGCAAGAGATGTTTAGATTCTGAAGGCAGAGGTAACTCAATTTATAGGGAAATTGAATGTGGGATACAGACAAAAAGATGGATCAGAGGTGAACACTCAATTTTCCAGTTAAATCTGGAAAGAGCTGATTACTAATGGGAGTGTGGTGGGGGGGAGTTGAGGGAGTGGATTTTGGGGAGAAACTCTGTCTTTCCCTCTGTGTGTGTCTCCCCCTGCTTCTCTATTACACTACCCTTCAAATAAATAAAAAATAAACTTTGCAAAAGCGAAAAATAAAAAAAAACATTTTATTTGAAAAAAGAAGAGAGGGACATGCACGCGTGCACACACACACAGAGAAAGAGAGAGAGAGAGAGAGAGAGAGAGAGAGAGAGAGAGAGATCTTTCTTCCATCAACTGGTTCAGTCTCCAAATGCCAGGTACCTAGAACTGTATCCAGTGTCTCTCACATGGGAGACTCAGCCTCTGGAGCCATCACCTGCTGCCTCCCAGGGTCAAATTAGCAGGAATCTGGAATCAGAAGCAGAGCTGGGGCTGACATCCAGGCACTCTAGTATGGCATGCGGGTATCTTAACTCCTGCAGCAAACGCATGATCCTAGAAATTAGATTTTAAATGAGTCCCTAATTTGATTTATTTTTATTAGCTTGTTGTCACTGCATCTCAATTTTAAGTGAGATTTGGTCAGGTCATTGCTATGAGTGAAACACATAGCATTTCATTGGAATTCTCTGTGCTTTCTTAGCATAATGTGCAGAAAAAGGCAGACTGAATCTGGAAGGAGAAACACTGAGTGAGGTTTGTAGGTGTGGTCTCCATGCGGTGGGATCATCCCTCATGGCCTCATCCCTGGGCAGAGCCTCCTTTGATCCATGAGGACTCACTCACCCCTAGTAGCCGCTTTTCTGATGAAATCTTGTCCGTGCTTCACTTGAGGCATCATTTTTAACTCCTGCTGTACCGTGATAGATCCTGCTATACTTGTTTCTAGTCTCTGTCAAATCATGTGCCTTTAAAATGGGCCCTGCCATCCGTGGTTCTAGGGTGAGAGAATAAAATAATGAGATGACTGTGGATTCCATGGTGAAGACCTGGCATTTTGTCCCACTCTGTGTAGTGGGTAGTTATCTGATTTAGAGAAGTTTCCTGGATCCTGCTCACTCTATTTCCCATTGTGAATGAAAGGGTTTGACCTTGACCCTGTAGTGTGTTTATCACAGCCCAGTGATAAACCCCACTTCCATGCAACACCAAAAAAATATTAAGAATGAACCTAGGACTGCAATAACTAGCACTCAAATAGTAGTTTACACTTTATGTTCTGTGTGGGTGCAAACTGTTGAAATCTTTACTTAATATATACTAAATTGATCTTCTGTATATAAAGATAATTGAAAATGAATCTTGATGTGAATGGAATGGGAGAGGGAGCAGGAGTTGGGAGGGTTGCGGGTGGGAGGAAAGCCAGGACTTTGCACCAGCAGCCAGGAGTGGAACCGGCATTCTGATGCAGAATGCCAGTGTCCCAAGTGGTGGCTTAACCCATTGTGCCACAATGCTGACCCCAAACACCAGATATTCTACATCTTGTGATTCTAACACAAGTGATTTAATGTGGGGATGGCAGTTGTCAATGTAGTAAAATGCTTGGAGTGTTCACTTCATCTAATGTATTTCCCTTTACTTTACTGGCTGCTCAAGTAAGACACACTATTGATAGGACAAAATGTATGATCAAAGACTTATTGGCTATTTGATATATTTTAAAAATAATATTGGGAAATGCAAAGTCCTGGCTGCCCTGCTATCAGTTCAGATTCCTACTAATGCGCCTAGGAAGACTGAGGATAATGCTCTAAGTAATGGGTTCCTGCCACCCAAGTGAGAGACCTGGATGGAGTTCTGGGCTCCTGGCTTGTCCTTGCACCTTCCCTGGCCAGTGTGGCCATTTGGGGAGTGAACCAGTAGATGGAAAATAGCTTCTCTCTCTCTCTCTCTCTCTCTCTCTCTCTCTCTCTCTTTCTCTTCTCCCTCCCTCCTTGCTTGTGAAATAAACAAATAGATAATTAAAAAAAAAAAATTCCAGTGTTCATACAAGCTCCCTCTATGGATCATTTCTTTTAGGAAAACCCTAACAGATATGTTTGTGTGTGAGGGGAGAGGGTATGTGTGCATTTAATTTAGCTTCTAAAACTTCATGAGATCATGGATAAAATACCAAATAGATTTCCAATATATTATTTCAGATGTCATCTATTTGTCCTCTGATAGTCTGTCAGTGAACCTGTTAGTTTCTGAGACTGTAACAAACATCAACATTGAACATTTTCTCTCATTTCCATTAAAACACAGGTGCATATTCCACGTTTGGGTAAATCAGATGCAAGAGTAACAAAAAAGAAATGCAGACATATTAAACAAAAATTTAAGAATTTTATCGGATTAATTACATAAACAATAAAAGCGTAACAGGAAATATGATACCCAGATTATAAAACTAAGAATAGACTTAATTATCATATCTGTAAAACAGTGTGTATCATCTAGTGAATACCAGAAATGCGAGGGAATAAAATCTGAAAGATAAAGTTATTATTTGATCATTTCACCTGAAGGCACAATATGAGATGATTGCTAGTAACTGAAAAAATAGATTCAGGATTGCTTTAATATGTAATGATTTATTTTACCTTGAAATTCATAGCTAAAAGTTGGTTTTAGCAACCCATCTAAAGTTTTGGAATATGTGCAGGTACACATGTTCTCTCTCCCGCTTCTCTTTTTAAAAATAATTTAACTATAAACAATATTTTCTGAATTTATCATCGGAAAATGATGCTAATTCATTCCATTACATTTTTTAAAAAATAAAAAAAATCACTACACACAGAATTTCTTTTTTTTTTTTTTAAAGGCTTACCCTAGCTTTATTAAAGGGCCCGCGCCGCAGCGTCGATATAAAAACACAAAAAGTCCCGTCAGCATAATAACAATAAAAAACCCCCAAAATGGAAAACCCAGGGGTTGGGAGGAGGCCCCTGAGCCAGGGGCACGGGGAGCCCTGCTCATGGCGCCAGGCCTGGCCACAGGGTCCCGGTATTGCTGTTGCTACGAGGTCGGGGGCAGCGATTGTCGCGGGAGCCACCGTTCGCCCGGGTCGGGGAGCGTCACTTCTTCTGGGGTGTGCTCAGCTTCTGCATGCCCCGGATCTTGTCCAGCAGGCCAGAGATGAAGGCCTCGGTGGGTTTGTAACAGTCGACCAGCAGCTCCTTGACCCTGGCCGCCCGGGTCTCGTCACTCTCCATGTCCAGGAGCTCGTCCACGTCGATCTCCAGCTCTGGGATCTCCTCCTCCTGGCAGTCGTAGAGCCGCGTGAGCTGCTCCAGGATCCACTCCTCCAGGTTGAGGCGCTTGCGGAGCTCCTTGCGGTCGTACTTCACGGTGACCTTTCCTTGGCGCCGCCCGGGCCCTCGCCGGCGGCCCCAGGGGGGCTCTGGAAGTAGACGCGGGGCCCTGGGCCGCCGCTGCCCGGTCCGGGGGCCGGAGCCGCCACCGCCGCGCCCCCCGCGGGGCCGCTGTCCGCCATGGCGGCGGCCGGGGCCACGTGCGCGCGCGCCGGGCCCCTCCCTGCGCCGCCGCCTCCGGGACGCCCGCCGGCTGGCTCCGGGCCACTGGCTCGGGTTAGCTCGCGGGCTCGGCTCCGCGCGGCTCCGCGGCTCGGGCGGCGGCGGGGGCGCCCGGGGGCAGCTGCAGCATGCGGAGCCCCCGGGCCTGGCCTGGCCGCGCGCCCCGCCCCCTCCCCGCCGATCCGCCCGCCCTTTGTCCCCCGCGGCCGCCGCTACACACAGAATTTCATCATAACTTCTCAAAATGTAACATATTCATGTAATAAAAAAAGTGTCATACTTCACCACTGAATCCAACTTAATTAAGTTGTACACACATAGTCAACCCTTGCTGTTTATATGACCAACACAGTCTTAAAAAGTGGAGTGAAACATCACCACACCATCAAACTGAAAACAATCATATATGATATAAAAGCAAATAATCTTTATTACGAAACTGAACACAATAATGAAAACTCTAATACAATTGTCTAAAAAAGCCTCCCTGGGGTGTCCTGCATGGGTACGGGGGCCCAGGGATTTGGGCCCTCTTCTGCTGCCTTCCCAGACCACGGCAGAGAGCGGCACTGGAAGTGGAGCAGCCGGGACTCGAACCGGCGCCCATGTGGATGCGGGCGCTGCGGGTGGTGGCTTTTCCCGCTCCCCCACAGCGCCGGCCCCTCCTGGGAGCCTTTCCCCGTGGGATCCAGCTGTCTGCTGCCATGCCTGGGAAAGCAGAGGGAGACGGCCCAAGGACTCAGGCCCCTGAACCCAGAGTGGAGCACCGGATACAGTCCCCGGCTTCTGCTTCAGCCCGGCCTGGCCCCGGCCTTAGTAGCCACCTGGGGGTTGAACCCCCAGAGGGACGATCCGTGAGAGAGAGCAAGACGCAAGAGGGCTCGCGATGCCCGGTGCTCTGCTTCTCTCTGCAAGCGGCTCCAACGGCCAGCGCCGGGCCAGGCAGAAGCCAGGAGGCTTGACCTCCATTCAGGGCGCCCAGGAGGCCGGGAGGCGTGGTCCCTGGGTCACAGGCTGCAGAGGCCGCACTGCCAGCGGCCCTGGGGCGTCGGACGCTGGACGCGGCAGGCAGCGCGCAGGTGCGTCCCGTGGCGCCACGGCGGCCGCCCGTGGGGAGTGCGCCTGCGCCCGGCGCTGTGCCCCGGAAGTGGCCCCTTGTGCCCCGGAAGTGGCCCCTTGTGGCCCGGCGCTCAGGTAGGAGTCCTCGCGGGTCCCGTCCGCTGCTGCCGGAGAGCCCGCGCGAGCTGTCGGGAGCCGTCCTGGACGCTGCCGGCGGAGCCTGCGGGAGACCCAGCGCCCCCGGGGTCAGGCCGGGCTCAGAGAGGCTGCGGCCCGAGGCTGCCGCGCCGTTTCCCGGGCGCGGTTCTCTTCTTCGGCCCTTCGTGGAAGCAGCGGCCTTCGCGGGCCCCTGTGCCGCCAGCAGACCGGGCCCCCTTGGCGGTGAGTGATGCGGGGGCTGTTGGGGTTTCCCGCTGCGAGTCTTCGCTGCCGGCGTGCCTGTTGCTCTCGGGTCCCGAAGGCGCGGGTGGAGTCGCGGTCTTGCTGTGCGGACGGTCGGTCTGGAACTTTCCCCAGTGTGCGAGCAGCTGTGCCAGAGCAGAGGGGCTCCGTCTCCTCCCGGAGCGGCCCCGCGTTCCCGTCTGTTTGCGTTTTGATGGCCCAGCCGCCCTGCTCGAGACCCCCGAGACTGCTGACGGGGAGGAATAAGAGCGAAAACGCTCGTCTGTTTCCTGGTCTAGGAGGACAGTTTCCGGTTAACTGGCATTTGGTGTGATGTTAGCGCTCTGTGGGTTTTCAGTGAGAGGCCATTGTCAAGCCGAGGTTTAGCTTCTGTTCCTGATTTGATGATTCCTTTTTATTTTGATATGGCCAAAGTGGTGGGAGTTTTTGTGAACTAGGTTTTCTGTGTCTATAGGGATACTTTGTGGGCTTCCCCATGTTTATTCTGTTCTGTGAGATATTGATTGTGTATGGTAGCCATCCTTGCATTCCTGGAGTACCTCTCAGTTGCACCCAGCGTGCTAAGCTTTGGTTGTGCTTCAGGAGCGCGTTTGGTAATATTTTGTTGAGGAATGTGACAGCGCAGTCATGACAGATACGTATGTGCCGTTTTCTTTATGATGCATTTGTTTTGCATGTTGGGAAAATGTTGGTCCGAAGGGATGAGATGGAAGATTTTTCCCCTTTGTCTCCTTTTTGGAAGGGTTTGCAAATCACGGGTTTTAACTATCCTTCCCACAGGAGTTCTGTGTTAATAGGCCAGGTGATGCATATAGTATCAAGTTCGATATAAACTCTAGTAGTTGGCCGTGATGTAGCTATGTCTTCCCCCCCCCTTTTTTTTATATATAAAGTTCTTATTTGTTTATTTGAAATTCAGAGTTATATGCAGAGAGAGAGAGAGAGAGAGAGAAAGAGAAAGTAAGTCTTTCATCTGCTGGTCCTCTGCAAATTGGCGCAATGATGGGGGCTGAGCAGATCCGGAGCCAGTATTCAGGAGCCAGGGGCCCGGTGGCAGGTTCTCAGGATGGGGCACCAGATAAAGTCCCTGGCTTCTGTTTCAGCCTGGCCCAGCCCTGGCCTTTGTAGCCACCTGGGAGGGGGGCGAACCACCAGATGGGCAATCACTGAGAGAGAGCAAGAGTGCTTGCGATGCCCCATGCACTGCTTCTCTCCCCAGGCGGCTTCAAAGGCCAGCGCTGGGCCAGGCAGAAGCCAGGAGGCAAGGACTCCATTCAGGACTCCCAGGAGGGAAGGAGGCAGGATCCAAGTACCTGGGCCATCAGCGGCTGCCTCCCTGGTTCCCAACCTGGAGTAGCGGGACTGGAATCGGCTCTTGGGCGCCCCACACTGGACGTAGCAGCATGCAGATGTGTCCCATGGCGCCATGGCAGCTGCCTGTGGGGAGTGAATTTGCGCCCTGCGCTGTGACCAGGAATTGTACCCGTAGGTACATCTCCTGCTCAGCCATCCTCAGATGGAAGTCTGCTCCTCATCTGTTCCTGCCCAAAAGCCTGTTCAAGTCTTGAGGAGCCGTCCTCGATGCTGCTGGCGGAGCCTGAGTGAGACCCAGTGCCTCCGGGGTCAGGCCTGAATCAGAGACACTGCAGCCCGAGACAGCCGCGGCAGGTACCTTGCCCTTCTGGAAATGTGTAGGCGCGGTCCTCTTCTTGGGCAGCTTCCGGACGACTACCCCTCGGACCTCGGCTCCTGTTCCAGAGGAGCAGAAACGCTCTTTGTTTGGTGAGTTGGGCGCGATGGCCTTCCCGTCGTCGCGGGGTAGGTGGGGCCTGGGGTGCAGGTAGCGGGCAAGGGGTGTGCATGTGAGGGGTGGAGGGGAGAGGAGGAGGAGAGAGGCGGCCAAGGGAGATTCGGGAGGAGAGAGGAAGGGGGGAGAAGGAAAAGGTGGCGTGAAGGTGGGGTGGCGTGGAAGGAAGGGGAAGGAAGGCGTGTGGGGCAGCGTCGAGGGAGGGCGAGTGTGACAGGAGTGCCGGTGGGCGGGTGGAGGCGGGGGTTGGGAGAGGAAGAACTTTTCCCACGGCCCGGGTTCCGTTTTGGGGGTTTCCTGGCCCTGGCCGGAATCAGTCTTGGCCGCGTCCGTGAGAAGCGGCCTTGACTCCCGGCCTCTCTTCTCTGGGTGGTTCTGAACCGTAATGTGTGTGCGGGAACACTGGCCTGGGGCACTCGAATCAACTCGAGGTGATCGTACTGCTGTGGCTTGAACCGACGTCTCTATGAGACTACCTGCCAAAGCAGTGTCTCCATCCTCAGCCTCTACCATGGGATCTACATCTCCGTTTGCATTGCCTCTTAGACACACACTTGAGTGTCCTGCAGGTACCGCAGACTTCCTGTTCCATTCAAACCTGCTCCACACATTGCACTGATCTCTGTATTGGCGGCTCCATCTGACTTGCCTTCCAAGTTGGCAAGCTTGGCAGCACCCTCTTTACCAGCATCTGTGTCCTAGTAGTCACCGAATTTTGTCAGTGGTGGCTCAGGTCCTACACAAGCCCTCAGGCCGAGGCTGCCTGCTGCCAAGTCTCATTGCTCTCCGGATTCTTTCTTCCAGGCTTTTCTGCTTCAGGCCTGCATACCACCTGCATTTCCCTAGAAAGCACAGGGGACTGTCTGATCTTTTCTCATCTCCTCTTGCATACTTTCAAAAGCCCTAATCCCTTAGGGGGGCATTCCAAGGCCTTGTTCTCAGGTCTGTTCACAGCTTCCTTTTCCAAGCTGCACAGCCCCTGCTTCTGTCATGCCAGACTTGCCACTGCTCTGCAGATAGGCAGCCACTACTTGATGTTCCTCAGTGTTTTCAGCTTGAGAAAGTCGTAGCCATGTTTCAAAATATCCAACTCAAGGGTCTTCCTTCTCTGTGATACTTTTCTCTCATCCTCCCAGGCAGGGATACGTTTCCAGAACTTGCATAACACACTGCTTATCTTCGTAAAGCGCTTAACCCATTTTATCAGCATGTATTTGCTAAATACCTGTATCTCATAGAAGACTGTGAGCTTGTCCAGGGCAGGCCTTTTCTCTCTGCTTTCATTCCTGTAGTCCCTGGTACACAGTTGGTATTCAGCCTATGCAGAACTAACAATACACTCACTGGTGGGTCTTGGGACAGGAACTGATGGTTTATGAAGGGTCTGGTCTCAAGAACAAGGGCACGAGGGCCAAGGAAGGAGACAGCAACAGAATCAGCATTCTTGAAGCACTTTCACTTGTCAGGGTTCTTAGTGTACCATCGTCTCATTTCTAAATAACAGCACAAGGAGGGAAAGCAAGAGTTTTACTTAATTATACCACATTGTACTGTTTAATCCTCTTCAAAGCTCTGTGAGGAAGGCACTGCTGATCCCCTTTGAAATAGGAGGCTAAAGGAGGTGGGGACCTGCCCTAGGCCATATATCAAAAACAGTAAAGCCCCAGTTTAAAACCTGCTCTGCTGTGTCCCTCCTGGGGTTGGAACCCCAGGTTCCAGTAGTTCTAGAGGTGGCGTATCAGAGAGGTGTAGCTCATAAAAACCAGTGGTACTTTTCTTTTGGGCTTGTCTTTGTATGGAGCAGAACCACAGGCACTTGTCCTATGTTACTAAGGACCCTTCTTAATAACTCTGTGGCCTCATGCTGTGATTTGTTAATATAGGTCCTGTGTCCTGGTTCCCACCAGTGGTCATCTTTCTTTGAGCTATCGGAGGAGTCTGAGGTGGGCATCTTGCCACCCGGGGACTGGAACTGACTTTTGAGAGGGACCCTTAGGTATGAAAGGAGATTTGCTGGTAGGGTTAAGACCAGAGGGTTTGAGGGGTCCACAAGGTCCCTGGCGATTAGTCTTTGTTTCTTATTTCTTTATTTCAAAGGAAGAGAGAAATATTTCATCCCTTAGTTTCCTTCCCTAGTGCCCACAACAGCTGGAACTGTATCTGAAGCCAGGGCCTGGGAACTCAATCCAAGTCTCCTATGTGAGTGGCAGGGATGGAAGTACTTGAGCCTTCACCTGCTGCCTCCCAGGGTGGATTAGCAGGAAGCTGGAATCAGGACTTCAGCCAGGACTTGATCCTGGGCACTCTAACATGGGCTGTGGGGATTCCAGCAGTGGCTTAGCCACTATACCAGAAGCCATTCCTTGATTAGTCTTCCGTTCCCTCCTTCACAGGGTGGCTGGCTGCTTGGGAGGGGTTTGCATCACCACTGCTAACAGGGCCTGCTGCATAATTTTGTGAGCGCCTTGTTCCTAAGGCAGGGATAAAGTGCCACTAAAGGTACTAAGTCATAAAGCTCTTTCCTTTCTCCCGCATACCTCCTTGGCTCAGCCTCATGTTCTTTGGACTCGCTTACAAACCGAGGATTTTGAGTCACCACCAGCAGAGGTTTACACCCAGTGAAGGCCCTTCTGAGTACCAGCGCTGTGTGATGGCTCCTTTGTGACCATGTAGGCTGCGCCCGTGAGGTTGGCCTTGGCTGCTGAGTATAACCCATTGGCTGTGACTGTATAAGATTACATTGTATTCCAACATAAGCGGTTGCTATTTTGTATGATAATTCTGATATTTCACCATTAAAGCAATGCTGCAGGGAGCAACGTGGATTATCCATACCAGAGCATTCCTGGAACTGTTTTGATGACTTGTGTTAGTTCAGAATCACTAGGTCTTTGCTAGCATTCTGCAGTAGGCAATGGCATTGCAGGCCAGCTCTCTCCCTAGCACAAGGCTGACCGCGTTGAAATTTACACAGGTGTTGAACAGATCTCCGCACCTGCAGTGTGGAAAAGACTAGAGCAGTGCCCTCTTGTGCCTGACTGCCCTTCTTTCTGCCTCTTTGCTTTGTACATTATTAAATGTGCTCTCAAACCTCTAGGACTCACAGCTGAAAATAAAGTAGGTTGGTGGACAGTCACAGACAGCACTGTCCACTCACCAGGCCCCGGTTGTTTCTCCTTAAGCACTGTACCAGATGCCCTACTCCACCCATTAATAACTCTTGTCCTTTCCGAGTTGTTAGCTGTGTCATAAAATTTCTAGATTTCTGAGGGGTTTTGTAAACCTTAAAGTAGAAGATAAGAACTTTTGCTGCCAGTGTTTTGGCTTAGCTGGTAAAGCCGCCCCCCATGATACCAGCGTCCCATATGGACGCTGATTCAGATTCCCAGATCCACTTCCAATCCAGCTCTCTGCTAATGCACTTGGGAGGGCAGCACAAGATAGCCCCAGTGCTTGGGCTCCTGCACCCACGTGGGAAAGCCAGAAGAGGCTCCTGGCCATTGTGGCCATCTGGGGAGTGAACTAGTGTATGGAAGACCTCTCTCTTTCTCTTTCTCTTTCTCTTTCTCTTTCTCTTTCTCTTTCTCTTTCTCTTTCTCTCCCTCTCTTTCTGTAACTGTGCCTTTAAAATAAATAAAATGTTTTTTTTTTTTTAAAAAGAACCTTTAACCATTCAAAGAAAGCCTCAAGTAGAAAGAAGAAGAATCTTGCAGACCCACAGTACTCACTGACCTAAAATCTTGCCTGAAATTCTTGTTGAAGTTTGCTGATAAAGTGATCATCAGAAATGACACATACTGACTTGTGTGAAGTGAGCTAGTAGATATTCTTGGCCTGTGTAAAAGTCACGTCTGCTAGTTTTTACAAGATGTAACTGCTACGCTCCTGAGCTACTCGAGAGCTGTTGGGTAGAGATGTTATTACTGGCAGAGTCGTCACACTGCACAGCCCCCGTGGGCATCGTTACGCCCTGTGACTGGCATTTCCAGGGCTAGTGCTGTGCACACTGGGGAGGCCTTACCCACAGGTGGTGTGGTGTCTGCACAATGTCTGCATGATGGTTCTCCCTTCATTTGGATGGCTGGTAGGGTTCTGTTAGTACACAGCCCCTCAACTTGTGACTTTTCAAAATTGCTCAAGCACGCGTTTTTGAGTCACCTCGGAGGGGAACAGTTGGGGCCCTGGGGGATTGATTGCCCACTGTTCTAGAGACTAGAACAGACCTACCCTTGCCTCCTGGAACTTTCTCTGAGTTAGAAACCTCTTAGAGTTATTATAAATCCTTGAAATATTTTATTTCATGGTGTATCTTTAAGCAGAGGTATCTTACAATTAGTGCAGCAATCATAGACTTATTTTTATTATATTTTTATTAAGTAGGAGGGAGGAAAGCATTGTTGGTCAGCGCACATGGTGCTTAACGTGGAATCTGGAGGTGGAGATGGTGTTTTCTTACTTACAGAGTTTGTGATTTCCAACTCTCGCCAAGGGTAAACACTAGAATTAGGTCTAGGCTGTGGTTCTAGCTGGTATGCCTCTGTTTCAAATTTCATCTCGCTTCTGCTTGGCATCAAGATTTCCAGCTTTCCAAGGCTGGCCGCAAATTTAAATCAAGTGTCTAAACCAGTAGTTAGAGGAAAAGATCCCGCAGTGGTAACGGTACTGCTAAATGAATCATTTGTTGTATATCAGACTCCTCATCACCTAGTTGAAATATCTTTGTGTTTTCTTGTTTTCTGCAATAAAAGTCATTCAGACTTACCGAAACTATACATTTGCATTCCTTCCACATGTGAGACAGTCTTTTTCTAAATCATTGGGCTTCTAAATTCC